TTACTTGTCTTTGGGAAAGGGGAGTCCCCACGCCCCAAAAATTTAGCCTGCACCCAGCTGGGAAATATCAAGTATTGACTGAGAAGTCTACGTTAAGCAGGACTAAATTGTAGCATATTCAATTTTGACATAATGTTACAACAACCAATAGCTGCCATAACTGAAAACAGTAGACTATGTCACTATCCTGGTAAATAAAAAAATATATATATATATTTTTTTTTTTTTAAACATTCAACAAATTGTTTAAATCATGAAAGTGTCTTATGGGAGTTGCGGTAACACAGTGGACAGATGATGGCCCTAAACATTGAGGCTTGAATCTGCACTGCAATGGAGCTTTTAATAATTGACACTGACTCCAAGGTTGACACAGCTTAAATTGGGTACCAGAAATGACCTGGGAAGAAAGGTTTCTAGCATAATGCTGACCACATTGTCCATGAAATACAGACTGGTCTATAAAATATGTGTCTGGTACAATATGCCTGACGTGCCACAGGCATGAAAGGTGCCACAGGCAGGAAAGGTTCCATTTCTTTACTTTTTTTTTTAAAATAATTGTTTTAAATATCTCCTATGCTGATGTGGAATACAAAGGGAAACCACCACAACAATGATTCCAGTTTATAGGTGGTCACATTTTCACTCCTAAACACAGAACAGAAGTGGAGACATGAAGTGTACTAACTATAACTCTAGAATTTTATGTTCTCTACTGTGTCCTTCTGGTTCTTATAGTACCATTATATAATGTCACACAATTTGAAGCAACAATGTGATAGGAATGAGTTAATATTAAAGCAAGAGAGGGCAAACATTAATTTTTAAAAATGTATTATATTAAAGAACCCTAATAAACACATGGTAAATCACTTAATACTGTATGGGTTAATAAAAACATACCCATAGAATAACATAGTTTACTGAGAGTTCATACCTGAAATTTCACTGAAAACAGCTGTGACTATATGTTATACAACTGTGCTGAGACGAGAAGCAGCAAACCCCGCATTTCAGACAATGCCTCAATCCCATAAACACTGCTTATCCTGCATTTATCTTGGCCTGTCCCCAAAAAGCCTAGTTAATAGCACAAAGTTATGTTTGAGCTTACACAGCCTTTGGAAAGCCTAGATATGGAAGTATGGAATGCCTACAGAACCACCTAAATCAAATTAATAACAAAGGGGAGGAATATAATATGAGAATAAACACTGAGAAGCCAGACCTAATGGCGATAGGAAGACAGAAAAATAACTGAGCAATAAAATTTAAAATCAAAGCCTTAAGGCAAAGAGAATTCAAGTATTTGGGCGCAATTTTCACCTCCAACAGAAAACTGGACAGAGAAGTTAGCATGAGATGTGCCAAAGCTAATAAAGTGCTGGAGCAACTATCTCCCCTATTGACACACAAGCAGATACCCTGAAGTACTAAAATGAATCTTATCAGAACTATTTTTTGGTCAACACTATGATGTCAGTGCCAAACGTGGACACTTACATCCTCTAGTGAACGTAAAATTGTGACAACAGAGATTAAATGCCTTAGACACAAAATCAGACGAATGCTAGGAATAAAGCCAGTCTTACAAGTCATCAAAGAACAACAAATGAAGTGGTTTGGACCTCAAACAAGAATGCCCTGTTACTATCTGCCACAATGAGCCACAATGAAACATTACAACGAGTATAGAGCAAGAGGATGACCTCGTAAAACATGGAGTGATGGCATAAAGAAAAGCCTAACAGAAATGAACATCAATCCTAACAGTGCTCTTGATAGAGTGCATCAACCAGCGTTATATCTCCCCGCCGACACTTCACTGATATATAAGGTGGAAGACAAGAAGAAAAAGAAGAAGAAGAAATGATTATATTTATTAGAAATAGCATTTGTGATAGGAATGGGCATGAGCTGTATGAGCCGAATGTCTAGTGCATTGATAAAGATAACTGTAACAAAATACTATTTTATATAAGATAATTTTCATACACAGTACTATTTAAAATTATTGAAGTTGTAACACAATTCTATTTCATAAAAGATAGCTGTGACAATAATATTCAAAATTACAAAATCTGTAATACAATGCTGTTTATTAAAAGATAAATGTCACAAAAATGCTGTTTAATAAAAAATAAATGTCACAAAAATGCTGTTTAATAAAAGATAAAAGAAATGTCACAAAATGTTGTTTAATTCAAACAATTGTCATCTCACAAAAATGTGATTGTCACAAAATGCAGTTTAATAAATGATAAATATCACAGCATGTGATTTAAAAAAATTTGACTGTCACCTAATGCTGTTAAAAAAAAACAACAACAGATAAATGTCACCCAACGCTGTTTAAAACTGGTTACATCCCTACTAGCGAGCGACTCAATAGAAGATAACAACGACTGAATGGTTCCAAAGCTATATCAAAGCAAGACCTTTAGACTGACGAACAGCCAGTGTTTTTGATGCTATTTTTATTTGATAAAACGCATCTTGAACAAATACAACAACTAAATCAACCTTAGTGTATAAGAACACAAATTTAGAATACATACATGTGATTGAGTTAAAAAAAAAAAGGAAACAGAAGTAAAAGTCAAGGAACCTTATCACAAACATTGGGGTATAAATAGGGTGACCACACGTTCAAATATCACCAAAACAGTCCTATTTTTAGGGATGTCCCAGCCGCCCCAATAGTACTTAAATAAAAAATTCAGTTGTTCCATTATTATGAGAATCTGGGAGGTAGCTCAAAAATAGAACAAAACACTTACAGCTATTATCTGTAGACCTTATTAAATTCAATAATTTTAGATACTTTTAATGCCTTAAATGTATTACTTAAAATTTTAATTGTAGTATTTTTCCTCAGTGCAGCTGGCACTATTGACCGCACGACGCTGATGAATATGTTCAGAGGGGAATCTGAGTGCCTATGGATGTGTCCAGAATGCTGTGAAGATAATCTAACTCATAACTCATAAAGAGCACTTTGTTCTGTTTATTTCTTGGTGACAGTGGTTCCGGTTTTAATAACACTGTTGAGCGTGTAATAAACCCTTGCACCACTGTGACCTAAAAAAAACACAGGGAGAATGTTTAAACTGCTCTGCTTAGGATGTCCCGTTTTCAGCTCAAAATGTTAATATGATGTTCCAATTTCAGCTCAAAATGTTAATATGATGTTCCAATTTCAGCTCAAAATGTTAATATGATATTCCAATTTCAGCTCAAAATGTTAATATGATGTTCCAATTTCAGCTCAAAATGTTAATATGATGTTCCAGTTTCAGCTCAAAATTTTAATATGATGTTCCAGTTTCAGCTCAAAATGTTAATATGATGTTCCAATTTCAGCTCAAAATGTTAATATGATGTTCCAATTTCAGCTCAAAATGTTAATATGATGTTCCAATTTCAGCTCAAAATGTTAAAATGATGTTCCAATTTCAGCTCAAAATATTAATATGATGTTCCAATTTCAGCTCAAAATGTTAATATGATGTCCCGTTTTCAGCTCAAAATGTTAATATAATATTCCAATTTCAGCTCAAAATGTTAATATAATGTTCCAATTTCAGCTCAAAATGTTAATATAATGTTCCAATTTCAGCTCAAAATATTAATATGATGTTCCAATTTCAGCTCAAGACATTATGGTCACCCCGGCTATAAAACATATAGTGCTAGACCCAAATAAGGAGTCAATGAGAGATGTGGTTCTTTTCAACTTTTAGTGCCTCTTATAAAAGGCACCAGGAAATGTCCTGGGAAGTAAAGGTAGACTACATGATTCTGACCATACCATTATGCAAGTAAAAATGCAATTATATGAAAGCTGGAACAAGCACTGTACACCTTAAGGCCTGAAAGCATGTCTTTTAAATTTTGCTTTCCTTGATATGTCGGCTCTGTGGCTAAGTCGATGCGAACACTTCGCTTCGTAATGCCGGGATGCCGGGTTCGATCCCAGCTGCGGGCAATGCGCCTTGCGTTGGTTTCGATAGTGGTATCACGAAAGCCGACCGTCCAGCAAGCAATGGCAAACTACTGGACGTAATTTGCCTAGAGAAACCACACAACAGCCAGGGGCTGTTAGGGTTGGTTCTGCAACGTCCTGTAAAGGATACGCAACAACCTTTTCCTTGATATAGAGCAAATTATAAACAGATTATAAACAGCATATTCATACCAACACAGTGCCACCAGTGCCAGACTTAGACAGTATCACAGGCTAACCTACAAAAATTATCACCTGTGAAATGAGATGCCTGAGAAAAGCCGCCAACAGAAGATCAAATGGTTTGGTCATTTAGTAAGAATGCAGCTACAACTACTGACGCAGGCGCTACACATGAAAAGATCTGAAGTGAAAGCAAGAGGCAGCCCAAGGAGAAGATGGATTAATGACATTAGGGAGCTTCTACAACGACACAGAATGACAATAGCCATCGCTGCCCATCAAGCAATGGATCGCAAACTGTTCCTCCCCACAACGCTTAATGGCAGAAGTGGAAATTGATGATGATGATATAGAGCATGATAGAAAGGAATGGGAGAATAAACTGCTAGCTCTATGTCACGTACAACATCATAACAGGATGATGATGATGATGATGCATACAGCATATTGAACTATGTCATTTGTGAAATAATTACTCATTTCTTCTTTCTGCAGCTGGAATTAAACCAGGTATTTTGGAATTATAAAGCGCTTTCACAATGCCCAAGCTCCCTTCCGTTTCCCTGCAAGCAGCCCATAAAATATCTCTTTGTGCTCTTCCCTGTCACAGTTAACAAATGTTTTGACCCCTCTCTCCGCTCACCTTTTTCCCCAAAATACTGACTATTAAAATTGTAACAACACGTAAAAACTATAAAATGGAAAACACTGACACAAAGGCTGGGAAGACATTCGCCCCAAACAATAATCAAAACCCACAGCTGGAATCTTTTTGTAAAAACTTCAGGCTGTTAGTACTGCTTCTCTGCTATATATCTAGCTTCTTGAATGTCCCGCCAAGTCCTTGCATGTCGGCATCTCCACTTTTGCTCACAGATTTGCCACTGTTTACTTTCATTTGTACAAAGCCAAACTTGTTGTCTTCTTCAAACTGAGCATCGGAGGCCAGCAAGGAATCCAATAACTCCTGTTTTCAAGAAATATGAATTATTTGTTGTTGTTGTTGATGTTGATATTATTATTTTTATTATTACTATTACGAATGCTGACCACATCACCGACCAAGTGCCGATTATTCTATAAAAATATAGATCTAGCCCTAAAAAAATATAGATCTAGCCCTAAATAAATATAGATCTAGCCCTATATTCCCATTACGCCTAAAGGCATGGAAAAGGGACCTTTAATTTTTTTACCCTTGACAATAAATAAGATCCCCTTACCCTTAGAGGAAGCCACAGTGGTGTAGCAGCTAGAAGCTTGCCTGCGGGTGTGAAGATTGTGGGTTTAAATCCGAACGGAGTCAGGATTTTCACAAATGACCTTGCCTCCAAGGTTGACCCAGCCTTAAATGGGTACCAGGTGAAGTCTTGCGTGATGTTGGCCAGGTCACCGTCTGAGTACTGACTGGTCTATAAAATTTTTGATCTAGCTTCATATGCCCCATATGCCTAAAGGTGTGGACAAAAAATCATTTCATTTACCTACAGAGGACAGCAGGCTGTCTTTTGTAACCTCAGGTGCTCCAACATAATATGTTGATACAGTCAAATAGGGTATCTAGGATGTGATTCCTATTAGACCGGCATCCGAACAGTGACTCCCTAAATAAATGGGTGCCAAACCTTCAGGCTGTAGTTTTAATGGGGGTATACAAAACAATAATAAGAACCAACTACTGACCACATCACCCACTGAATGCCGTTTGGTCTCTTAATAAATACAGGGCTAGCACCATATATCCACCATGCCCCAGGGTGTACAAAACAGATCTTTACTTCTGTCTACTACAATTATCATCTTCTGTCTACTACAATTATCATCTGCTGTCTACTACAATTATCATCTGCTGTTTACCACCGTTATCATCTGCTGTTTACTACAATTATTATCTGCTGTTTAGTACAATTATCATCTGCTGTTTACTACAATTATTATCTGCTGTTTAATACAATTATTATCTGCAGATTACTACAATTATTATCTGCTGTTTACTACAATTATCATCTTGTGTTTACTACAATTATCATCTGCTGTTTACTACAATTATCATCTGCTGTTTACTACAATTATCATCTGCTGTTTACTACAAATTCTTTCTGCTTTTTTCTACAATTATGTTCAAAATTTACCTCAGTTATTTATTTTCAAAGGGAGTCGCCGTAGTGTAGTGGCTAGACACTCGCCTGCGAATAGGAAAGTTGTGGGTTCGGATCCTAAAGAAGCCAGACTTTTTTTCAAAAATGACTTTGTCTCCCAGGTCGACCCAGCCTTGAGTGAGTACCAGGTCCCAGTTCTGGGAAGTAAAGGCGGCTGGTGTTGTGCTGACCTCATCACCCACCAAGTGCCGATTGGTCTATAAAATGTAGGTCTAGCCCTATATACCCAATACGCCTGAAGGTGTGGAAAAGGGGTCCTTTACTTTTACTTTACCTATTTTCACATTCAACGTTCATTCTATTTCTTTAGTGGTTCCTTAACTTTCACTGGCGTAAGTTAAAACTGAAATAACATTAGAATTGAAAATAGGTAACTTTAACAAGCAAAACTTATCAGATGGCATAAATATATTAAACATGTACAAGAAGCAGACCTTGTTACTGTGAGGTGGTAACTGTCCCCCAAGGTCTGTAGGCAAGAACTCTGGCGGGATTGTGCTGTGTATTTTATCAAACTTGTCTCCATTCATTACAATCTGTGTACATAGAAGAGAACATGTGGTATTAACAAAATAACTGTAAAAATGAAATAAAATTGACACATATCGTAAAAATGACATGAGAAATTAAAAAAAAAAACTGTCAAAATGACATTAAATTGACAGCTGTCAAAATGACATAAACAAATGACTTAATAGAGATAATGAAACACATTTCATGATATTAAATATTACAATATGTAGAATACGATAAAATTACCCAATATCCACTCACATTTTCATTTTACCACTGCACTGTTCTACAGCAGTTACCATGATGGTGAAACTAGCAGTATGGATGCCGGTAGCCCAATGGTCATAGGTTTGATCCCATCAAGGCAAATTTAATTACTTCAGGGCTTCCAAACTGACCAGGCCTAAAACCATCATCATCAATTTTCTGTTGTGTGATTATGTCACTTTGGGTTCACAGTCTAGTCCTTCCTTTTGTTCTATTATGTGTAATCCTGTTAATATCATGGCCTTTCTTATCGTTCTCCTTCTTTTTCGCGTTCCCTGGCTGTAAGTTCCAGCAGAAAATCTCTGGATCTTTGTCCACCTCCAGACTTTAGTCCTGTTCCAGAACCTGAGTGCTGTGTGTACGTTCATTTTACAGATCTGGCTAATTTGTATGCAAACTCTTGGTTCCTTGCCTCTCAGGCAGATGTACTCTGACTTCTAAGGATGCCCCCAATTGCTATTTTCATGAAATATATTCCTATCCTGACCTCCTAAATGCTGCACAGGTGGAAACACAACCAACGGCATTAACTAGGTATCCCGTAAGCCCATTACTGTAGAAATGCCTGTTAAGCAGAACTCTCAGGAAATTCGAACCTACCAGAAGTACCAGATTTGCAGTTTCCTGGAAAAAGAGTTGAAGTATTGTGAAATAACTTCTTCCTAAGTAAGTGTATTAGTTTCCTTACCCTTTTAACCAGTTTGTCTTTCATGAATTGTTTAATGATAGCAAAAACAACATCGAAAAATGTTGGCTCATTCACAAAATCATATCTCTTCAACCTCAGTGGCAGCACATCCTGCAAAGAAAGAAACAAAATGACAATCAACAACCAATAGCAATACAAGGATTTAATCTGCTGCACTGACAATAAACTATTATAAACTACATATTGTCAAACATTGAGATTGTCAAACAGCAAAAGCATATTTAGATTTTCACCCCTATTAAAATTCTGTGAAAAGCTATCAATCACAGTGCTGTTATAGAGTTTCTATGATATTATCTTTCCATTTTTTTTCTTTGTCTACCTTGTGCTCAACGTCCTATTTAAACTTTTTTTTTTTCTCTAAATTGCTTCTTCTATTTTAATACCCAGAAATGTAGTGCTTAGTGTTGTATGTAATCCTGTATTTCATTTTTCTGTGTCGCAGTCCTATAACACTGCCATGGTCAAATGCTGTTTGGTCAGTCCATTTATATCTCATAATATACTTTCTAATGATAATAAATCAAGTGCCAGCTTGCTAAACCCTGTCACAAGTTCACCACAGTGCTATTGGCCAGGACATTTCAGGGTGACCCAGGTTGGCTTTCATGGTGACTGTAGCGGCCCTGTAGCACAAGGCAGCACAATACTTTGCCCAATCCTACGTGGGGCAGGGCTTTGAGAAGCTATTAACTGATGATGCTGCTAAACTTAAAAATTTTTGATGCTTTCAAAAATTTAAAAAATGTTGATGCTGCTAAACTTATAAATTGTGGATGCTGGTAAGCTTATACATTGTTGACGATGCTAAACTCATTATCTTTTGATGCTGATAAACCATTAAATTAGAAACAACTGATGAAGAGCAGGGAATTACTGATATAAACATAAACAGTTTGAAAGAAATAATGAAAGATGAGTAAACAGCTGATTTAACAGTGCTAAACAACTGACACGAGAGCAGGAAAGGACTGATAAAAACAGTAGAAAACAACTGATATAAGAGATGGAAACAACATATTTAAACAGCTTGTAACAACTGACATAAAAGCAGGAAATGGCTGGTAAAAACAGCTGAAGTTAACAACCATTTTACTATGTGTATTCATGTTTAAACATATCACTCACCTGAATGATGCCCATAAATGTTTTGGCAATGCCCGGATTGAAATGTGCCGCATGTTTTAAAGTAAATCCTGCCAAGTTGTTGATCAGGTGAATCCCGCTGACCTGAGTCTCCTCATCCTGAATTTAAAGAGGGGAAAAAATAAACATAAGAGGCTTCTGTTTTCTCCATTAGCAAGAAGGTTACCCTATGAAAGTTCCAAGAAGTGAAACCCAGCAAAAATAAGTAAAGGATTCTTTTTGGGCAAGTGGTGAATGGGGCATATGATACCGTAATCCTATTCTTATAGACCAATTAGCACTAAGTCGGTTATGTGTCACAGGTCTCCTTACTAATTGCATTTCTCACATTTTCAGCTTATACATTAAAAAGAGGTAGAGAGAGAATGCAGCCCTGTCTTACTCCTATCTGTACCTGAAACCAATTCAATGTTTCACCAGCTACTCTGAGTGCTGCTTTTTGTTTATGGTAATGAGATTCCATTAGATGAAGCAAATGTATTGAGAATCCAATGCATCTCAGTAAATGCCACAGTTGTTGGTGTTCAACAGTCAAAAGCCTTGCTGTAATCTGTGAAGCATGTATGGAGATCTGTCTTAAACTCTCCTCAATCCTCAAGGATGATTCTTTTGTTAAAAATATGATCCCTTGTTTCCCTACTGTATCTTAAACCTGCTTGTGCTCCTTATAATTTATATTCTTTTTTTTTTAATGCTTCTTGAAGATGATCTGCAAAAGAATATTGCTGGCATGGCTGATCAGAGCCTTAGTACGACAGTTGGTATATAATTTAAGATTTTTTTTATTCAGGAGAGACTGTTCTCTTGCATGCTTTGAGCCAGTCAGCATTGTTCCAGATTTTCACACACAGTGCATGACATGCATTGACACTGGCTTTTATCAATTTTAACTTGAATTTAAACTTCAGCCAAGGTCACTTTAAAAAAAAAAATGTATGTAGTCAGCACAGTTTTAAGCCCAGGACCTTTGAGATAGTGGCTGAGCATCTAGCCATTATGCTACAAACAGAAGATAAAATAAAATGGCAGACATGTAACTGGTGCGAGACACAGAAACAGATTTTACAGATGTAATCAAAACACAGAAACAAAGAGAAACTGTCCCATTAAAACAGCACCTACCTCTAGAATCTTCCACATTAGCAGGAATACAGCTTTTGGTACCTCAGTGAATGGATAATGGTCAGGGTTCCAGTTCCCTGGCAAAATATGCAAAACTATGGTCATATATGGAACTATATATGTATGGTTTTAAAACCGAGTTATGTATTTTCAATTCTAATGTTATTTCAATGTTAACATACGCCAATGAAAGTTAAAGAACTACTAAAGACATGGAACGAAAGTTAAATCATCTGAAAACAAAAGTCTGAGGAAAAAGATGAAAATAAAATGGGATGAATTTAGAAGGAATGAAGAAATAAGAGAAATGTCTGGGCAGCCACTGGTATCAACAGTTATAAGACAGAGAAGATGGTGCCACATTGGACACATCCGGAGAAGAAACCAGCAGTCACAGGCATTAGAATGGGAACTAAATGGATCAAGAAGGTGAGGAAGCCAAAAAAAAGCCCTAAGATGAACGTTGATGGGGCCAAAGCTGCTGGACTGGTTTCCATCCATGATATTGAACCGATTGCACAGGGCAGAATGGAGTGGAGAAACAGACTGCAAGCCCTATGTGACATATAATAGTACAACAGGATAAGGAATGAATAGTGATAAAGACAGATTCTTTGGGGGGGGGGGGGGGAGGGGAGTTGTCGATCTGTGGTGTGTATGTATCAGTAGTCCAGGTCCTTGAAGTTCAATGATGGGTACCAGGTAATGTTCTGAGAAATAAAACTGGCCGGTGTGATGTTGACCAGGTGCCACCCTGAGCTTTCTTGCAGGCCTCTGCTGCTTTGCCAGTGTGATCGCTGTTGCTTCATTAGCTTAGATAAATATTGCAGAACCCACACCAATTTGACATTTCCTAATCTACTCATTCACTAGCTGAACTAACAGGCATGTATTTTCACACTGGACCTTCAATTGCCGATGAATTTCTATAGGTTTTACACCATTATCGATTAAAATAAAAAGGATAAGAGAATGTTGCTCCTCTTTAGTGCATGTCAAAGGTGAGACAGACATCTTTAAACTGTCATTATGATGTCACCATGTTCATCTGCACCATGATGTCAAATGCTTAAAACTCTTGATATCCCTTAACAACAAAAAACTCTTGATATCCCTTAACAACAAAAAACTCTTGATATCCCTTAACAACAAAAAACTCTTGATATCCCTTAACAACAAAAAACTCTTGATATCCCTTAACAACAAATAACTCTTGATATCCCTTAACAACAAAAAACTCTTGATATCCCTTAACAACAAAAAACTCTTGATATCCCTTAACAACAAAAAACTCTTGGTATCCCTTAACAACAAATACTGACAGATTAAACAACAATGGTATGGTTATTTAATTTCTTTTACACATTTATGATTTGCATCTGAACACCTCTTGTATGTGTGTACGTATATATACACACATATATATATATCCTGATACCGTTTTTTCATTAAATTAACCCTTATTATTTCTCATAAGAAAGGAAAAAAATCTTAGTGACAGTGGTGTCAAGAAGCCTAAGTGTTTTCCAGTGGAAATGAAGAAGCAAATAATCACTAAACATGACAATAGTGTTCATGTTTCTAATCTAGCCAAGCAGTACGACCTTGATTCACCACCCACACCATTAGCAGAGTCATGGATCCGGTCACTGGTCTTTGTCTCACTCCATCTATGTGGCCAAATCATCCAGTTATTTATATCTTTACATTCCTTTTGCTCTTTTTTTTTTTTTTTTGCTATCTGTAACGAAGTTGTTGTGGCCACTCCTTCTTTTACCTTGTCTAAAAACACTGTCATCATCTATTCCTTGGCAATAGGAGTTACAAATACTCACAAATTATGTTCTGTATGCATGATTTTACCTAGTCTTCTTCTTCTCCTTCTTCCTGAGATTCACTGGCTATAAACTGTGGTGGAAAGCTTTGGCAGTCCATTTATGGACGTTAGTCTTGTTCCAGAACATGAGTTTTGCATGCACATCCGTTTTACAGACCTGGCTTATTTTCATTCAGACTGCTAGTTCCTTGCCTCTCAGGTATATGCACTCCACCTTTGCAGGGAACATCCCTAATTAGTTGCCTTGTACAACATGCATGTTAGGTCAATTCTTTTTCCCGACAAATTGGGGCCCCGGAACCCACACTGGGATTTTACCTGGTCTGATGACGATCACCTTGCAGCCATTGTTGTCTCGCTGTTTAAGCACCTCGACTGTACCATCCTCTAAAACATGGCGTACGCGGGAAGGCTTCAGGTCATCAAAAATCTCTGGGGACTGCAAGCGAACATCGTAATAATTCTTCACCAGTTGGAAGCTCCTTTCCTGGTCAAACTTGCGAGCTCGTAAAAAACGCAGAAGAAATCTGACATCGGTTCGTGGCTGCAGACCTGGAAATATTTTGAAAGTAAGTAAATAAAAAGTAAAGGACCCTTTTCCGTGCCTTCAGTCATATTGGGCACATAGGGCTAGACCTATACTGTATAGACCAATCGGCACTCGGTCAGTGATGTGATCAACATCACATCGGCCTCCTTTACTTCCCCTGACATTGCCCCATAACCATTTAAGGCAAGGTTTGCATATTTTTTCCTGTCTGCCAATCTCTCTCTCTGTGTGCACATGTGTATGTTTGTGTGTTTTTTTTAAGTGTTTTTTTGTTTGTTACGCTCACAAGACACTAGAATCTGGGAATTCAAAGTGCTTTAAAGGGAGAGAGGCGGATGGGCCCCCCCCCCCCCTCCCCTCAGTTTTTAAGAAGGTTAAGTTACTCACCCTTCTCAGAAACGTATACAGGGTAGAAAGTATATACATATATAAAACTTATATATATTCAAACATATTTATTTGCCATTCAGCATATTATTATTGTTCTGAAATATCTGAATATGGTTTAGGAGAGACTGAACTCCCCCCCCCCCCCCCCCCCCACCCCCCCCTCTTTTTTTTTCTTTTCCATTGTTTTTTTTTTGGTACCCCTGAGTGTATGGGTGTGTGCAAAAATGCGGAGGGTGGAGAATATTTCTTTCTGTTCCAATCAACCCACCATGCAATGTGTTACTAATAGTTCTTTTTATCTTCTTCTTCACTTCCTTTATCACTACTTTGGTTTTAAAAGACATGAGATCTGGTTCTCACTAATTTTTCATGTGAACATTAATTAATATGTTACTGCAGACCATGTTCTTTAAGTTTACTTAGAACAAATATGACAACATATATCTTCTGCTTTTTTTTTTTAACCTGAAAAGGCAAGATATGCTGAATTTTAGTTTACAGCTAGGCTGCGATATCTGCATCTTACAGCCCAAAACATCTAATTTCATCAAAATTCCTAATTAGTCGCCTTTTACGACACGCTTGTTAAGGTGCACTAGGTCTATTCTTCTCTTCTTCCAAACTGAGGTCCCAGAAACAATAAGGGGAGTTTAATTGCAGAGATATGCTTAGACGTTAGTAAAAGCATTTCCCAAGGCTTGAAGTATAAGGGTTCCATTTTTAATGCAGATGTGTGTGTTGGTATTTTTTTAAAGCTGTTCTCATAGCTTTCGAATAGTGGTACATGAGTTGTGCCATGTAAGAGACTGGGACCCCACCATTTAATTATTCAGAAAGGTGGCAGTGGGCAGGCTGCAGCCAATCTTCAGTGTCAAGACATCAAAACATTTTAAAACAAATATTATTAATATTTTGTTAGGAGGCAGTTGGTCAGGTCTATTATCCATCACACCCTCTTTGTTTCAGTCCCATACCAACCCTCCTGCCTCTTATGACATGTATGTTAGGTTACAGTGTTACTATCTCTTGTTTTCCATATAGACCCAACTTACAGGTCAGTTACTGGATAATGCTGGGTGTGGAAAATGGAAGCTTACTTCCAGAACAAGAAAAAACCCCATGGGTTCCACGGCCCCATTTTTTTAAGAAAAAAAAAAAAATAACACTCAATGCTTTTTTCTGACTTTGTACCAAAGAATTTTATAAAATGAAAAACATCTAGTGCAATATATCCTTGTCATTGAGAGTTAGAAAAATAATTCTTGCTTGCTACATACATCCAGTTTTAACATATAGCTGTGAATCCTGGACAATCGGTAGGCAGGCCAAACAATTTCTGGAGGCCTCGGAGATGTGGTTTTACAGAAGAATGCTTAGAATACCTTGAACAGCCTAAAAGAGCAACCAGAGGTTTTGAAAGAGGCGGGAGTCCAAAGAAAACTTATCACAGACATCAGAAGGAGACAGTCATCGTTTTTCGGCCATGTTATGAGAAGAGGAAAAATAGAACATGTTGTGACCACTGGAAATATCTGTGGAAGGAGAGATAGAGAAAGACAACGAGAGAAGATGCTTGACAGTCTTGTTGCATGACATGGAGGTGTGTCGGCACACAAACTGATACATGCTGCAGGAGATCGCAGATTATGGAGAGGCATGATCGCCCACGCCAGTCGGCAAGGCACCTGATGATGATGATGACCAAAGAATTATTTCCAGAGAGGGTGGGTGTGCTGTGGATTTCTTCTTTCTCTCTCCAGGCTCAGAAATTTGTGTGATTTGCAAGACTGGTGACAGAATGATGCAAAACTGGTGCAGCAGTGGTGCCAGACATGCAATAATGGTGCAAAAATTGTAAGAATGGTGAAAGAACACAATTGTGGAGATAAGTGAGATGTTACATATTCTCATTTGAGTGTATCACGGTCATTTTTTTGGTAGGCTTTCTAACCTTATCATTCATTTTGTAGTTCATGACTGTGGTACTGAGAAGCTAAATAGTTCAAAGTGTAGTTTGGATTTATATTTTATTCATGAAATCTGTGAAGAGACTTACTAAAATGTAAACAGATCATGATTTACCATAGTACACACAGACTGATTGGCAGGGATTCAGCCTGTGCTCTTAATGCTTCCTCCACAAGTGACAGGTATTACACTGTCAGGTGACTTAGATTTAAACTCAACACCCAGAAGGAAGTAATAACAAGTTACTGATTTTAGAATCTACATCATAGAACACCAGGCATACCCATAGCTGCGTTTCCCACAGCAAATATCTCAAGGTGTAGGTGCTAACTGTTCCTATAGCACAGCGAGCATATCCATAGTAGATGCTAACTGTTCCCACAGCACACCGGGCATACCCATAGGAGATGCCAACTGTTCCTATAGCACACCAGGCATACCCATAGTAGATGCTAACTGTTCCCATAGCACATCGAGCATACCTATAGTAGATGCTAACTGTTCTCATAGCACACCGAGCATACCCATAGTAGATGCTAACTGTTCCTATAGCACACAGAGCATACCTATAGTAGATGCTAACTGTTCCCATAGCACACCGAGCATACCTATAGTAGATGCTAACTGTTCCCATAGCACACCGAGCATACCTATAGTAGATGCTAACTGTTCCTACAGCACACAGAGCATACCCATAGTAGATGCTAACTGTTCCCATAGCACACAGAGCATACCTATAGTAGATGCTTAACTGTTCCAATAGAACACCGAGCATAACCTATAGTAGATGTCTAAACTGTTCTCATAGCAACAGAGCCATACCTATAGTAGATGCTAACTGTTCTACCATAGCACACCGAGCATACCTATAGTAGCTGCTAACTGTTCCCATAGCACACAGTCGCCATACCTATAGTAGGATGCTAAACTGTTCCTCATAGCACACGAGCATACCTATAGTATAGATGCTAAACGGTCAAACTACAGCACACAGAGCATACCCATAGTAGATGCTAACTGTTCCTATAGCACACCAAACATACCCATAGTAAATGCTTACTGTTCCCATAGCACACAGAGCATACCCATAGTAGATGCTAACTGTTCTCATAGCACACTGAGCATACCTATAGTAGATGCTAACTGTTCTCATAGCACACCGAGCATACCCATAGTAGATGTTAACTGTTCTCATAGCACACCGAGTCATTACTATAGTAGTTTGCTATAACTGGTTTTTCATAGCAACACGAGCATACCTATAGTAGATGCTACTGTTCTCATAGCACACCGAGCATACCTAAAGTAGATGCTAACTGTTCTCATAGCACACCGAGCATACCCATAGTAAATGCTAACTGTTCCCATAGCACACCGAGCATACCCATAGTAGATGCTAACTGTTCTCATAGCACACAGAGAATACCTATAGTAGATGCTAACTGTTCCTATAGCACACCGAGAATACCTATAGTAGATGCTAACTGTTCCCATAGCACACCGAGCATACCTATAGTAGATGCTAACTGTTCCCATAGCACACAGAGCATACCTATAGTAGATGCTAACTGTTCCCATAGCACACAGTTCATACCCATAGTAGATGCTAACTGTTCCTATAGCACACCAAACACACCTATAGTAAATGCTAACTGTTCCCATAGCACACAGTTCATACCCATAGTAGATGCTAACTGTTCCTATAGCACACCAAACACACCTATAGTAAATGCTAACTGTTCCCATAGCACACAGAGCATACCCATAGTAGATGCTAACTGTTCCCACAGCACACTGGGCATACCCATAGTAGATGCTAACTGTTCCTATAGCACACTGAGCATACCTATAGTAGATGCTAACTGTTCCCATAGCACACAGAGCATACCCATAGTTGATGCTAACTGTTCCCATAGCACACCAAACATACCTATATTAAATGCTAACTGTTCCCATAGCACACAGAGCATACCCATAGTAGATGCTAACTGTTCCCACAGCACACTGGGCATACCCATAGTAGATGCTAACTGTTCCTATAGCACACCAGGCATACCCATAGTAGATGCTAACTGTTCCTACAGCACACTGGGCATACCCATAGTAGATGCTAACTGTTACTATAGCACACCGGGCATACCCATAGTAGATGTTAACTGTTCCTATAGCACACCAGGCATACCTATAGTAGATGCTAACTGTTCCCATAGCACACTGGGCATATGTGCTCCATCATTCGCAGCAAATGTCTGAAGTTGTAAATGCTAACCATTCCCCATAGCACAGCGATTACAAACTCACTGTTTTCTTCCTCTCATCCATCCCTCCTTGCCTGATCCGCACCTAATCCCCCCATTTACGCATGATAAAATTTCACCTAACCTCATGTCTTCTTTCAGCATTCGTTTTTAAATGGTGATCAGAATATCTCCCTTGTCCAGTACGAGTGTTCATGTAGCTATTGCTTTTGTAGCCAGAAAATCTGCTCTATTATTTCCTTGCACTCCTGCCTATCATCATCATTATGTGCCCTGCCAACTGGTGTAGGCGCTCATGTGTCTCTACAGATCATGATCCCTGGTTGCCTGGAACAGCTCTCTTGATGATTTCCCTACATGTCATCATTTCAGCCCATCCAGCATCATCTTCTCTTGGTCTGCCTCTACCCCTTTTCCCACTGATCTTTCCAGTTGTCACGATCCCTGCCAGTATATCCACAGTAAATGTAATAACAGGTTCATTCTTTGGGTACAAAGGAACACTTCTGACATTTATTTATAACTTAGTTAACTGTCCACTGATACTGACAGCAAGTCTGTTGATTAAAGGCATAACAGAAAAGTCTGACAAAAAAAGGAAGAAGTACCGGGTAGTTTTTCCAAGCGTATCTTCAAATTTTTCACTTCTATGAGCCGAGTGTTTGGATCTTCGTTCAACTCCTTGATGGCTTTCTCTAGAACCTGCGGACTCAGTGTACAAGAGTATCCAGGCTGACTTGTGCTGGATGATTTGCTCATGGTAGCCAATCAAATACAGTCTCTGCTGGGTCCAAAACAAGTTTCTGCAAATGAGTATTCATAGAATGCCACATGCTAGAACATGATTCAAAGACTGCTATACAACTGACCATTTTTATCACATGATAAAACTATCAAAACTACATAAATCATACAATGAATTCACTATTTATTTTATTTATACTTTAAACACACTATAATACTAACAACAGTACATGATTCAAACATTGCAGTCACTTATCATTTTTATCATACTACAAACATTATTAAAATTACACAATTAACAAATTGCATTCACTAATCAATTTCATTACAACAAAACTATCAACAGTTCAAGATTCATAGACTGTATTCACTGATTATATTATTAATATAATTATAATAATGGTTGGAAGTAAATGAGTCATGGCTTAATCCTTGCATCATTTGGTTTCATTTTTAATGGAAAGAATATGTAGTACACATAGCAGTAGTAGTAACTTTCACAAAATATATCTTCAGTCCTCAGCATTAAAACTGGGATATATTGAGATATATATAGTGTTCATCGAGTTTTCAAAGTGTATTGTTGTTATTTTATACACTGTATAATCATGGAGTTTTTTTTCTAGAAAACAAAATGAGAGAACCAAATAACCAACAACAAAGTGTCTACTCAAGGCGCCAGTAACAAAGTGTCTACTCAAGGTGCTGGTAAGAAAGTGTCTAATCAAGGTGTCAGTAACAATGTGTCTAATCAAGGTGTCAGTAACAATGTGTCTAATCAAGGTGCCAGTTACAATGTGTCTAATCAAGGTGTCAGTAACAATGTGTCTAATCAGAGTGCTAGTAACAAGGTATCAAACCAAGGTGCCAGTTACAATGTGTCTAATCAAGGTGCCAGTAACAAAGTATCAAACCAAGGTGCCAGTTACAATGTGTCTAATCAAGGTGCCAGTAACAAAGTATCAAACCAATCATCATCAGTTCTCGTTATGCCTAGTGGCACATGAGGCTTCAGAGAGGACTTTCCATGCTTTCCTGTCCTGTGCAATCTTCAGTGCAGTTTTCCATGTCAAAGATGCCGCACTCAGGTCACTTTCCATCGTTCGTCTTCAAGTTGTTTTTGGGCGCCCCTGTTTTCCTTTTCCCTCTGGTGTCCATGTGAGAGCTGTTTTGGCAGGTATATCAGAAGTCATTCTCATAACGTGGCCAAGCCATTTCTATCTTCTCTTGGTAATCATACTGTCTAAAGTTTCTTGGTTTGTGGCTTGAAGTAGTTTAGTGTTTGAGATTGTATCTGGCCAGCAAATTTTGATAATTCCATGTAGACATGTGTGGTGGAAGGTGGACAGCTTGTGTGCATCCTTTTTGGTCATTCTCCAGCATTCGGCTCCATAAAGAAGAACTGACAAAATGATGCTCTTGTAGAGTCAGAGTTTTGTTCCTCTGCAGTAATTGTTGGATTTCCAGATTTGCCTCATCCTTCCAAAAGCAGCTCTAGCTTTGTTCTTTCTCTGTCCCTCCCAGTAGGGACACCACACTGCCAAGATATGTGAAATGTTCTACATTTTCAAGTGATTGGTTACTTATGGTCACTGGTTGTTCGCTTGGACTGATGTCATGATCTTAGTTTTCTTTCATTTATTCTCAGTCCCACCATTTATGCTGTGCAGTGTAGTCTGTTACTTTTCTCTTGTATATGTTCATGTTTATGTGATAGGAGTGCTATATCATCTGCAAAATCTAGGTCCTCAAACATGGTGAAGGGAGTCCATCATATGCCTCTTAATGTCCTGTCTACTGTGTTCTTTAGTATCCAATCAATCACAAGGTTGAAGAGGAGGGATGACAACACATCCCTGTCTTACACCTGTCTTAATTTTTTATACTGCAGGAAAAGTCTTTATAGAAGAGAGCAATTTTGTTGACTATTTTTTCTGGAATTCCATAATGTCGTAAAATGTTCCACGCTGTCAAAAGCTTTCTCAAAGTCCACAAAATTAATATATATACTTCTCTGCCATTCATTGCATTGTTCTAAAATGTTACAAACAATGGTTCTAGAATGCTAGCAGTTGTGTTGGGATCTACTTTGAGAAGTTCTGCTGGCAGTTCGTCTTTGCCTGGTGCTTCGTTGTTCTTTAAAGTGTGGATAGCTTTAAGGATTTCTTGTTTGCTTGGTGGTTCAGTAATAATGTCAATGTCCTGAGAGGCTGGTTGAATATCTGGGGGATTTTGAGGATCAGGTCTGTTCGAGAGGACGGAGAAGTGTTTAGTCCACTGCATGACTTGCACCACCAGAACAAAGCCCTGTGTACCCTAATTTTGTTTCATACATTTATGCAATTTGTACAATTAATAATATTTGAGGTACAGTCTTCAGTCCTGTTCAAATCTTTTAAGCTGTGATTAGACAGATACTGTACAATGAGTATTAACTACTTCAATTGCAAACAAACACATCAATTGTTCACAGGATACTACCTAGAAGGCCAATGAATGCAAGATGTGCTGCTTATGTGTCTCTCTTTTTAATTTACCACTGAGCAGTATAAAAACATGAATCCACAACTTTGAATAGTTTTTATAGTTCATTATTATCAGTATTACACATTCTGGGCATTAGGTTTTTTTTAAAACGTGGTCAAAAGCTTAAAATATAGATGCTTGTGAACTTTACAGATTTACTAGGTGTTTGTTTGAAAACCATACTATCGTCGAGCAGTCTTCTTCAAGCATACAAATGTGATTGACAGCTTTAGAAGCCTTAAATTTGTATAAAACAGTGTTGATCAGATTCATATGAAGTTAAATCCACCACCACCCCCAAAAAGTAACAAAGCAAACTTGTTTCAGTCATTCAGAGTCAAGCATTGATAAAGGATAACTTTGTTGTGTATCTTGTGAAGTGTACAAAGATAACAAAGCCAGCTGGCACACAGAAAAGGAACATTAGTGAAAAGGGTGATTTTCTTGAGTGTAAGTTAGTTCTATTGCTATTCCCTCTATTATTTAGGAAATTAGCTACAAAATTACAGGCTATTCTAGTGTTATGTAAAGTCCATTTTGTGTGAAGATACTAACTGTATTGAGAAGTCATTTTACTTTACAAAATGATGGTGCTCTGTGATGATGTTCCAAATGTTTATCTGGAATGAGATCTAATGCAGGACTGTTTATATGTTATTTATTTATTATCAAGTGTCCCATGTTCATTTGTGATTCATATAGAGTTTATCACAGTCACTATTAAGGGTGCAAGGGGAGATGTGACAGTATGCAACATCTACTCACCACCAAACAGAGATATTAATCTGGGACCCATCCTACTAAATACAGAAAACTGGATTGCTGTCGGAGATCTAAATAGCCACTCACCTAGCTGGGGCTACACAGACCTCAATGCGAAAGGAGAAGAGGTAGAAAACTAGATAATCAGCAACACTCTAGTTCTGATAAATCATCGTGACGACCCAGACACATTCTACTCTCGAGCTTGGAGGAAAACCAGCACCCCAGACTTGGCTATAGCAACTGAAGATGTGAAGAAAGTTACCAGCCGGAATGTATGTCAACAGCTGAGAGGCAGTGATCACAGGCCCGTAATCCTTTCTATTAACAAAAGTAGAGAAGTTACTAAGGAAAAGAACCCTCCCAGCTGGAACTACAAGAAGGCTAACTGGAGCCTTTTCACTTCCTTTTTGGACGACATGTTGAAGAGAGTCTTCTTCAAAAGACTGGAAATAAATGCCAAACTGAAGATCCTCAACACAACTATTCTAAATGCAGCCAAGGGTAACATACCACGAGGCAGCAGGAAAAACTTTAAACCTTACTGGTCGCCTGAACTGGACACTCTGCATTCTAAACTTAGTACCAGGAGGGAAAATATGGAGAAGGATCCAAAAGATAAAAATGTAATACTTCATAACAGAGCAAAAGCAGCCTTCATCAAAGAGAGAAATAATCAGATAATGGAAAGCTGGCACAAAAAGACGGCGTCACTTAACCTCGAGAAGGACACTTCGCATCTGTGGAATCTCACAAAAAGTTTGAATGGAGACAAAATGAAAGTCAAAACTGTCCATATTTACATTATAATGAATGCATTTTATGCTTTATAAGGATTAACACTGCAAGTTAGAAAAAAAATGTATATAGGTTCTATTTTTTTTGGTTAAAGAAAGTCACTGTGTTGTAGCATCTAGACGCTCACCTAGGCATTTGAAGGTTGTGGGTTGAGTCGGACTTGTTTTCAAAAATGACTGACTGCAAGCTCAACCCAGCTTTAAATAGGTGACGGGTGAGGTCCTGGAAAGTAGAAGTGGCCATCACGATACTGACCACATCACCCACGGCCGCACTTTTATTTCCTCTCTATGGGGCGCTACGCCGTTTGTTTACATTTTGTTTACATGACAACATATTTCATGTTAGGTATTTTCCTCAAACCTGTTCACATTGGTGGTGGTTGGAAAGGTGGGGGGGGGGGGGGTGAGTCAACAGATACAAAAAATGATAATTAAAAAGACAATCGTAATCTTACCTTACACTGTGTCATTAAAATATTATGTACAAAGGAAACAATTGTTAAGAAAGTAAGAAACTGATTTTTCACATTTATTAGCTAGTGTAACTAGCTGTGTACTATCGCCGCTTCTTTTTATAACATACATGGATACCATATGTAGCGAAACAAACTTTAATCATGAAGAAGATATTACAGAATTACTATTCGCCGACGACCAGGTACTCATAGCAGAAATATGGAATGCCTACAGAACCACCTAAATCAAATTAGTAACAAAGTGGAGGAATATAATATAAAAATAAACACTACGAAGACAGAGACAATGATGATAGGAAGACATAAAGACAATTTAGAAATAAAATAAAAAAACAACACCCTGAGACAAACAGAGGAATTTAAGTATTTGGGAGCAATTTTTACATCCGACAGAAAACTGGACAGAGAAATTAGCTCCAGATGTGCCAAAGCTAATCAAGTAATGGGTCAA